AGCTAGGGAAGACTCCATGGTGACTCTGAGCGAAGTCTTTCTAGCCCTCCAAACTTCTCTCACCTCACAACTTTGCCTCAGAAGATGGTGACGAGCTTCGGCCAGTCTTGTGAGACGTTAGAATATTTACGAGACGTGAGATTAATGTCCTGGAGACGTGTAGAAGCTACTGAAGGTTTCACACACACCCAGACAACAAACTCTCTCACCTTCGTCTTACATCACATGATCCCTCGCCCCGCCCACCTAACTAACCCCTACCAGGTGTACAGTACATGACTGCCCCTGTCCAGGAGGTGTTAAGGAACGTCTGTTACTCACATGCAGGTGAAAACACTACCTGTATGGTACTGTCATCACGTGGAAATACTGCACCTGTCCTTTATACTTAAGTCTGTACCTGAATCACGTTTATGGTTATATTTATTAAAGAGTTTTGTAGTGTCAGGGAGGACTAATATTGTGCTGTAAGGGATTATGAATTACCTGGCGTCTGTGTGTTGATTATGTACGTCCTCACCCCCACACAGTGTATGTCTCACCCACACGTCCTCACCCCCACACAGTGTATGTCTCACCCACACGTCCTCACCCCCACACAGTGTCTGTCTCACCCACACGTCCTCACCCCCACACAGTGTATGTCTCACCCACACGTCCTCACCCCCACACAGTGTCTGTCTCACCCACACGTCCTCACCCCCACACAGTGTCTGTCTCACCCACACGTCCTCACCACACATCCTCACCCCCACACAGTGTCTCCCTCACCCCACACGTCTTCACCCCCCACATAGTGTCTGTCTCACCCACGTCCTCATCTGTCCTCAGTGTCTGTCTCCCCACGTCCTCACCCCCCACCAGTGTCTGTCTCACCCCACACGTCCTCACCCCACATAGTGTCTGTCTCGCCCACACGTCCTCACCCCACATAGTGTCTGTCTCGCCCCACGTCCTCACCCCACATAGTGTCTGTCTCACCACACGTCCTTACCCCCACACAGTGTCTGTCTCCCACACGTCCTCACCCCACATAGTGTCTGTCTCGCCCACGTCCTCACCCCCCCACACAGTGTCTGTCTCACCACACGTCCTCACCCCCACAGTGTCTGTCTCACCCACACGTCCTCACCCCACACAGTGTCTGTCTCGCCCACACGTCCTCACCCCCCACACAGTGTCTGTCTCACCCCACGTCCCTCACCCCCCACATAGTGTCTGTCTGCCCACACGTCCTCACCCCCACACAGTGTCTGTCTCACCCACACGTCCTCACCCCCACACAGTGTCTGTCTCGCCCACACGTCCTCACCCCCACACAGTGTCTGTCTCACCACACGTCCTCACCCCCACACACTGTCTCTCGCCCACACGTCCTCACCCCCACACAGTGTCTGTCTCACCCCACACGTCCTCACCCCACATAGTGTCTGTCTCACCCCACGTCCTCACCCCCACACAGTGTCTGTCTCACCCACACGTCCTCACCCCCACACAGTGTCTGTCTCGCCCACACGTCCTCACCCCCACATAGTGTCTGTCTCACCCACACGTCCTCACCCCCACATAGTGTCTGTCTCGCCCACACAGTGTCTGTCTCACCCACACGTCCTCACCCCCACAGTGTCTGTCTCGCCCACACGTCCTTATTTCACCTGAAGATTAGACACCCCAGCTTATGTCACCTGATGAGTAAACACCTTGACGCTGCCAGGAGGAGGTTTAGGTTAGGTTGGGTTAGCATTACGTTAGGTTAGGTTAGCATTACGTTAGGTTGGGTTAGCATTACGTTAGGTTGGGTAAGCATTACGTTAGGTTGGGTTAGGTTTGGGTAACGTTAGGTTAGGTTAGGTTAGCGTTAATGTGGTTAATCTTCAGCTGAAATAATCTGGGGTGGCGACTGTACAGGTGATCCAATTAATTAATTTTTGAGGTAAATTGACTTTTATATGTTCGGTTGTCTGTTTATTTTACCCATCGATGAGAGAAGGGAAGGTAAGGAAACAGCAAGAGAGGGAGGGTGAAAATAAAGGAAAAAGAGAGACGGTAAAATAAAGAATGAGAGAAAGAATGAAAGATATTGAAAGCAACAAACCAGTCCGTCAACCAGAGAGAGAGTGTGTGTGACGCAGAGAGAGAGAGAGAGTGACGCAGACAGAGAGAGAGAGAGAGAGAGAGAGAGACATGACCACGAGAGCTCTTGTGGTGGTCTCGCGGGTCTGTACCGTCATGTAACACCCTCTTATCGTCTTACAGTGCCTGCTGAGTCCTCTTGTCTCTTATTATTAGTCTTGGTTTATTTTATTTACATACATACATACATACATACATACATACATACATGCAGTCACACTTTATACACGCACACAGGGACAGGGACATACTTCATGCACCTATACACACAAGTACACACACACAGGTATACAAACAGGTACACACTTCATACGCACATGGTCACACTTCATACACAGGGACACACTTCACACACACACACACACACAGGCTGTAGTCTCTTGTGTTTTATTATTATACAGTGTACACACCTGCTGCTTACAACCACCTGGGGATATTGGTTCGATTATTGGTTAGGTTGGGTTTGGTTATGTTAGGGCAGGTTTAGTTCGGGTAGGTTGGGTTTGGTTATGTTAGGGCAGGTTTAGTTCGGGTAGGTTGGGTTTGGTTATGTTAGGGCAGGTTTAGTTCGGGTAGGTTGGGTTTGGTTATGTTAGGGCAGGTTTAGTTCGGGTAGGTTGGGTTTGGTTATGTTAGGGCAGGTTTAGTTCGGGTAGGTTGGGTTTGGTATGTTAGGGCAGGTTTAGTTCGGGTAGGTTGGGTTTGGTTATGTTAGGGCAGGTTTAGTTCGGGTAGGTTGGGTTTGGTCATGTTAGGGCAGGTTTAGTTCGGGTAGGTTGGGTTTGGTTATGTTAGGGCAGGTTTAGTTCGGGTAGGTTGGGATTGGTCATGTTAGGGCAGGTTTAGTTCGGGTAGGTTAGGGTTTGGTATGGTTAGATTTGGGGGTTTAGTTCGGGTAGGTACAGTTGTAGCAAGATTTATTTTTGTCGACTAATTGCATCGGTGAGCTCTGTGAATGCCGCTTTTGACTGACAGATTTAGAGAGTGGTTTTCGAACCGACTGACAGACTTACATTAGTTTTCGACCAATTCTAAATGATTGACTGACAGACTGACAATAATTTTCGACCACCCATTAAGTAAATGACTGACAGATTAGTTTTTGTCCAAGCACTGACTGATTAACTAACAGACAGACCATGTTACATTAGTTTTACGAGCGGGGCTGACAGACGGAGCCCTTGTGAGTTAATAGCTATTTCATGCCAAGACTCTCAGATGAGGGACATTGCACGGTGAGGTAGCAGCCGGGTACAAGTAACATGGCGGCTTATTTATATACACACTCAACTCCGCTCTCTTTTGTTTTCTTTCTTGTTTATATTCCCTGGACGTAGTATTACTCAGCGGTATATATGATAATCACACACACACACACACAGGGATCCGGACGTTATCCCCCCAACTGGTGGACGTTTAGTACTTCTGCGTGTGTGGTGAATCTTTTTGACGTCACTAAATGTCCAGCTGATTTGTGTAAACAATGGCGGTGGTGCCACATCACTCTCGCCGCCTGCCTCCTCCACCTCTTCTTCCCTCCCTACATCTCCTCTTCCTCCTCCACCTGTCACCTCGCCTCTACATACTACTCTTTAAAGAACGAGGGTGTTGTTACTGCTCCCTCCCTCCCTCCCTCCTTCCCTCCTTTCCTCTCCCCCTCCCTCCTTCCCTCTCCACCCCCTCTCTCCCTCCCTCTCTCCCCCTCTCTCCCTCCCTCACACATACCTCTCTTGTATATAAAGGTCACGACCTCATTATCGAAGAATTGATAATGATAATAATAGTGGTGCAAAAAGTCAAATTAATGGCGGCTACAGCGAAGGAGGTAATTACCGTACGAACATTTTGAAAGTTTATGGAGTAACTTAATGTTATATGATGTGCTAGAGCGTAACCTGACCAGACCTTAACTTATCCCAGGTAGCGTCAGGTAAATAAAGTCTCCCTTTACAGGTAACCTAACCTAACCTAACCTCACGTATACTACTACCTTACCTAACCACCTCACTTGTCTCGTTCTATCATCTTCTCTCCCTCCCTCGCTGAGCTGATGTTAACTCAATTCTAACTAACATCCCAAACTAGGCTAATCTCTGTAACTAAATTGGTCTCTTTAACCTTACCGAATTTTAATCCAATTCAACTGTGGTTTATATGACCTTAACCTACCGGCGTCTGGTGTAATTAACCTGACTTACACACACATACACACACACACACACACACACGGATTGATGATTGACCGAGTAAAACCCACAGGCACTGCACTCGACCACCTCCATCATCCAAACTGTAATATCAGGTGTCAATTCACGTCTTGTTGTAGTTTACAGTGAACCAGGTAGTTAGGTACGCATGTCGTGACGTCATTTCCCTTCCAACCATCTTGACAACATTGGGCCACAGACCGAGCATAATGAATATATTGTATTAAATATTGTAATGGTGAGGTGATTATGCACACTCCGGCCACGACCTACACGTTGTTGTCAGTGTAAAGGGAAAACATGTAGGTGTGTGTAAGAACTTTTTCCTCTGTGTGTGTGTGTGTGTGTGTATAGATATGATCGCTCGGTTGTCACATTAGTCTACCCACAGCACACCAGACACCACCATAACCAGACGGATCAACCAATAAAACTAACCTGCCTTGGTTGTCCACTTCTTCCCCCTCACCAAATTATATTCAAACACTAATTTTAAGCTGGTTTTTTCTCAATCCAGTTTCCTCCTTCACTGACTTGACTGGTTGTGTTCTTGTATTGAGGGGATTATGAACCTTAAGAACAAGAATAAAGGTAAATAATATGTTCTTTTGTTCTGTGTTCTTTTGTTATTGTTGTTATCGTCACTTATTTACAACGTGGTTAAACTACTTCGACTGTGTGCTTGTCGCCGCTAGACTGACCGTGTTTGTCGCCGCTAGACTGACCGTGTTTGTCGCCGCTAGACTGACCGTGTTTGTCGCCGCTAGACTGACCGTGTTTGTCGCCGCTAGACTGACCGTGTTTGTCGCCGCTAGACTGACCGTGTTTGTCGCCGCTAGACTGACCGTGTTTGTCGCCGCTAGACTGACCGTGTTTGTCGCCGCTAGACTGACCGTGTTTGTCGCCGCTAGACTGACCGTGTTTGTCGCCGCTAGACTGTGCGAGTGTCGTTGGCCGGGCCGGGTTAATTAGGGAGAGGATAATTATCGGTAATTAGCATATCACTTTTAATTAGGTCACATCTGAACCTTATTAGTAGTGTAATTATCCCATAGATTATTGCACGTGACGATGAGGGGTAGGGGGGGTGGTGTTTGTTATTGAAGAAGACGTACTGCGGTCACTAGTAAGTCTCTCTCTCTCTCTCTCTCTCTCTCTCTCTCTCTCTCTCTCTCTCTCTCTCTCTCTCTCTCTCTCTCTCTCTCTCTCGTGTCATGGGCGACCTTCAATATTTGGCAGGAAATGTTGCACCTCGTGACCTCCACAAAATTATACCCAAGACACGACACGAGAGTCCTTCCCTGTAGGCGGCCTCTTGCAACCTCCTCTACGTTCCTCAACATTCTCTACCTCCCACAACCTCCCGCCCTCCCACAAGCCTCTCCCTACCCTCCCTCCCACAGCCTCCTACCCCTCTACCTCTCCCCTACCCTCCACCTCTCCTACCCCTCTACCTCTCCCTACTCCTCACCTCTCCCTACCCTCTACCTCCTCCCTACCCTCTACCTCTCCCTACCCCTCTACCTCTCCTACCCCTCTACCTCTCCTACCCTCCCACCTCTCCCTACCCCTCTACCTCTCCCTACCCTCTACCTCTCCCTACCCTCTACCTCCTCCACCCCTCTACCTCTCCTACCCCTCTACCTCTCCCTACCCCTCTACCTCTCCCTACCCCTCTACTCTCCTACCCCTCTACCTCTCCCTACCCCTCTACCTCCCACAACCTCTCACCTCGCCCTGACCACAAAGAGTGTACACGTTTATTCTCAAAACATAGACACACACAACCTTACACACCCTAATGACTACATGTCCGTGTTTATATTTCACCAATATTACTTTAACGCCACACACAACAGGGTGCAGTAATACCGGACAGAGATAGATAGATAGATAGATAGATAGATAGATAGATAGATTAACTGGTAGACAGACAGACAGACAGATAGGCAGACAGACAGACATAGACAGACAGATAGATAGATACTCTCCTTCATAAAATTTGTAGAATATTTTATTTTAGGAAATATATCAGATTTTATTTTAGTTTATTCTAAGAAAAAAATATATATATTTGGCCTTAGAATCCTCAAAATGTTAAAATAAAAAATATATATATATAAGGAAATGTTTCAATTTATTTTATTACACGAGTTACTGAGTAGAAGAAAATGGTTTTGAGTGTGACAATGGAACGAAAATTAGAAGGGATTTACTCTCTTAAAAGTTCTGTTGGCTCATAACCCTTGTGGCTCCTAACCTTGTACCTTTCCCTTGTGGCTCCTAACCTTGTACCTTTCCCTTGTGGCTCTTAACCTTGTACCTTTCCCTTGTGGCTCTTAACCTTGTACCTTTCCCTTGTGGCTCATAACCTTGTACCTACCCCCTTGTGGCTCTTACCTTGTACCTCCACTTGAGTGTTGTTTGCTTGTTGCTTTTGTTTTGTTAACTGTTGTTCTTTTATTTGTTATTCATGTTATTCATTTTTCCACCTTATTACTGTACTGTTCTCTTTCTCCTTTTGTCTTTGTTATTAATGTTTTTCCTTAGTTGTTTTTTGTTTATTTATTTATTTTCTTATTGTTACTTGGGCTTGTACCCGTTTTCTTTGTCTCGCTATTTTATCCCGTTTTCTTTGTCTCGCTATTTTATCCCGTTTTCTTTGTTTTATCCCGTTTTCTTTGTCTCGCTATTTTATCCCGTTTTCTTTGTTTTATCCCATTTTCTTGGTCTCGCTATTTTATCCCGTTTTCTTTGTTTTATCCCGTTTTCTTTGTCTCGCTATTTTATCCCGTTTTCTTTGTCTTATTCCATTTTCTTTGTCTCGTCTTTTGATCTCATTTCTCTTGTGTTTTTTTTTATATATTAATTCGCCTCTTTTCTTTTTCTTCCTCTGTTTGGTCTCACTTAACTAATTATGTTTGTTATTTTCTGTTCTCTTGTTCTTATCTTTATTATGTTATTACTGTCATGTTCTTCGTTTTTTGTTTGGTTGTTTGCTTTGTTTATTGTTTAGTTTTTAGTGTGTTTATTTGATTTGTTGATTCAAGTTACGTCTTAATTTTAGGCACAGAAGAGGAGGATACATACATACATACATACATACATACATACATACATACATACACACACACACACACACACACTTGGACAGCCACAAACACACACAAACCTTCAGAAATGTACACAAAAAGATGTACTGTAAGCTCAAACACACACACACACACACACACACACACACACACACACACACGGACATGTACGTTCACACGCTCACTGTTGCAATATATCGGCAAGACGTTTATTTTTGCAACCAGAACCGTGGGAAGGAAGATGCCGGCAAGTGGTCACCATTATATTGTACAGCACTTTCCCCTACTGCTACTGCTGCTCCTTCTACTGCTGCTACTTCTACTGCTACTAATTCTACTTAAACTGGTACTTCAACTACAGTACTACTACTACTACTGCTGCTGCTTCTTCTGCTGCTTCTTCTACTGCTACTACTGTTACTTCTCCTACTGCTACTTCTAATGCTACTGCTGCTCCTTCTACTACTGCTGCTACTTCTACTGCTACTAATTCTACTTAAACTGGTACTTCAACTACAGTACTACGACTACTACTGCTGCTGCTTCTTCTGCTGCTTCTTCTACTGCTACTACTGTTACTTCTCCTACTGCTACTTCTAATGCTACTGCTGCTACTTCTAATGCTTCAACTGCTACTTCTACTACTGCTACTTTTACTGGTACTTCTACTACTGCTACTACTATTTCTACGACTACTATCGGTGTCGTGTGGGTCACCTAATGAATCTACCGCCCTCTACCTCACAACCTCTAGTTCCTCTATCTCACAACCTCCCATAACCTCTTACTTAACTTATTTCACCTAAAGATTAACCACCTTAACGTTATTTGGGGGAATTTGGTTAGGTTAGGTTATGTTGCGTTAGGTTTGGTTAGATTAGATTAGGTTAGGTTTGGTTAGGTTAGGTTGCGTTAGGTTATGTAATTAGTTGCAAAATTAAACATAAAATAATACCCATAAGAAAATAAAAGTAACATTTTAATACCATAGTTACCTATAATTTTAATAATAATAAATAAATATATATAAAATAAATGTAATCCCAGAAATTGTTTAAGAGTTCTCAGGTATTTTATATAAAGGAAGTAAAATGACTATAATAATATACAGAAAAAATAATGTCTTGTTACATCACGGAATAGACGCGTTCAGATCCTGTTATGGTCGACCTTCTAACATTATTTGTATTATTTTTCATCACATTGAAAATAAAGATGATATTCAATAATTAGGTCAGGTCAGGTTAGATTTGATTAGGTTATGTTTTATTTATTTTTTAGATACGACCTAATATTATTTTTATTATTTTTACTACATTGAAAATAAAGATGTAACTGAATTTAATTATTAAGTTAAGTTTATTTTGATTAAATTTATTTTTCTCTAGACAAGGGAATATTTTTTTGTTATTTAAGGAAAATTTTAGTTAGATTGTGTTATAAGAATGGCAAGTTATGTTAGGGTTGTGTTGTAGTGGTGGTTGTTATATAGAGGATATTTCAAGGACGGTTAGGATATTATTTCAAGGACGGTTAGGATACGACAAAGGACGGTTAGGATACTAAAGGACGGTTAGGATATTATTTCAAGGACGGTTAGGATACGACAAGGACGGTTAGGATATTATTTCAAGGACGGTTAGGATACTTCAAGGACGGTTGGGATATTATTTCAGGAAGGTTAGGATACTACAAGGACGGTTGGGATATTATTTCAAGGACGGTTAGGATACTACAAGGACGGTTGGGATATTATTTCCAAGGACGGTTAGGATATTATTTCCAGGACGGTTAGGATACTACAAGGACGGTTGGGATATTATTTCAAGGACGGTTAGGATACTACAAGGACGGTTAGGATATTATTTCAAGGACGGTTAGGATACGACAAGGACGGTTAGGATATTATTTCAAGGACGGTTAGGATATTTCAAGGATGGTTAGGATATTATTTCAAGGACGGTTAGGATATTTCACGGACGTCTGTTAGTTTATCAAGGATGTGTTTGGAGGTGTTTTTGTTGTTTGTTTTTGTTTTGTTCTTGTTATACTGTGTCTGTGTATTCACTGGTGTGTAGTTGTAATGTAATAATAACAAACAGTCAAATTACGTTCTGTGTGTGTGTGTGTGTGTGTGTGAAGTCAATTTAGTACCACGAACAACGACAGTCATTTAAATTTGATGTGGGGGGAAAAAAAGAAATTTGTTATGAAATTTCCGCTTTGTATCGTTGTTATGTACTGCAGCAGCTTGTTCTTGTTGGTGTTATGGCGTGGTTGTAGTCTTGGTGTTTGTGACCCGTAAAAAAAGTTTGTAGATTAAGATTTATGAGAGGAGTGAGATTGTGTTTCGGGGGAGAATTAAACAAACCCAAAAATAAAAAATATGGAAGATGTTGGTTTGAGTGTGTTGGTGTCTGGATTTTCCCTGCTGTGAGATGGTGGATTTGTGTCGCTTGTTGCGTCTGTTTGTCGTTCTCTCTCTCTCTCTCTCTCTTGTTTTGTTTTATCATCTTTTTCTCTTGTTATCTATATTATGTCTCTCTCTCTCTCTCTCTCTCTCTCTCTCTCTCTCTCTCTCTCTCTCTCTCTCGGTCACTCTGTCTGCCCAATCAATCGTAGCCGTAATAACAGCCTATAAACCTGAAATATTGAGTGATACCAGAATAGTTTGGCCTGAGGGGAGAGAGAGGAGGGGGTGGGTGGGGGGTGGGGGAGGGAGGTAAGGGGATGTGTCTCATTCTGTGTAACCCCTTTGATGTTATTGTCCGCGCCCTGTTGTCGTTTTCTTCACACACACACACACACACGCACGCATACACTTACACACATAGTTAAACACACATAGACGAATACACACTACACATTCACACACACACACACACACACACACACACACACACACACACGTACAAACTCCTCCTTCCTCCCTCGCCCCTCTCCTCCCTCGCCCCTCTCTCCCCCCCCTCCCCTCCCTCCCTCTCCCCTCTCCTCCTCGCCCCCCCTCCTCCCTCGCCCCCCTCTCCTCCCTCTCCCCCCCCTCCCCCCTCCCCTCCCTCTCTCTCTCTCTCTCACCCTCGTCGCTGTAGTTTTTTCTCTCTCCCTCTGGTTGGGTCGTGAACTAATCTATAATTACAGCTGATAAAGATTCGACGTTTGATGTTTATTGTATCACGAAGAGACAGTTTTGGGTAAATCCCACTTCCGGTCTTTTCGTCAACTCATACTAGCTCACTCACTCACTCACTCGCTCGCTGGCTCACCCACTTGCACACTCACTCCCTCGCTGGCTCACTCACTCGCTGGCTCACTCGCTCGCTGGCTCACTCACTCCTTCCTCGTTGGCTCACTACTCCTCTGCTCGCTGGCTCACTCCCTCCTCTCCTCTGGCTCCTCCTCCTTTGCTCGCTGGCTCACTCACTCCTTGTCGCTGGCTCCTCCTTCTTCGCTCCTCGTTCTACTACTACTCGCTCGCTCGTTGGTAAAAGAAAAAAAATTGAGTCGGAAGGTGAAGTTGAATGAAACGATACGTCTTTTAAGTGCGGGTCATGTAGTCAAGATTATTTACACTCGATTTTTTAATTATTTTTTAATTTTTTTAGTCATGTAGTTGGGGTTATTTACAATTTGTTTACGATAATGTAACTTTATTAACGATATATTTTTTTTACGTCACCATTTGTTTTACGATATCACCAATTTTTATGTCACCATTTTTTGAATGTCTTAATTTTACGATCATGTCACCATTTTTTCGATCATGTCACCATTTTTTACGATCATGTCACCATCATCCGCCGGTAGATAAATTACTTAACATATTAATTACCATACCTGTGTGTTATAATTTTACCCACTTAAATTTTTTGTTTGATTTCTAAACGCGGGTCACCTAACCTAACCTCAATCCTAGCCCTGCCTGACCTGACCTGTCTGACCTGACCTAACCTAACCTAACCTAACCTAAACCACGAATTGAATATAGCAATTCATAGAACAGTCTTAAATACGGGTCACATGTCTATGTTAATATGAGACCCGCTGAGGGAACTGGAAGTAGTATGTGTTAGGATATGTCTCAAAAACCGGTCACACAATGGAGTACCACCGCTCTTGTAATCCAGACTACGAACTGGAAATGTTACATCATGAGACTACATCTTTAAAAAGCACGAGTCACATAATAGAGAAACACCAGGCTGTGAACTGGAAATATTACATCTTTAAAAAAAAAACACGGGTCACATAATAACAACACCAGTCACATTACTGAGGCTAAGAACTGGAAATAGTAAATCATTGGAGTACGTCTTAAAAACGGGTCACGTATTAGTGAAACGCCAATGAGATTATCGAGACTACGAACTGGAAATAGTAAATCATGGGAGTACTTCTTAAACACGGGTCACATAACCGAGAGTATTTACACTCGGGTGCGGGCCCATGACACGCTCTCAGCTCGCCTACGGACTTGAAATTGCCAGCGGCATTTTTAAATTATATCGTGACGCAATAAATTGGCGCCATTTGACGAGGGAAGGAAGGGTTGGGCCCCAAGCCTCAAGTGGCGGTGGTCCTGTGTGTGTGTGTGTGTGTGTGTTAATCGGTGTTTTTGTCGTCTACAGGCTAAATTCCCTTCATTCTCTTCTCTTCCTCCTCCTCTCCTCTTCTCCTCTCCTCTTCTCCTCCTCTTCTTCTTCTCCTCCTCCTCTTCTTCTCCTCCTCTTCTTCTCTCTTTATCATAGCATCTTAATAAATATAGGTGCGTCAGGCAGCCCTATGGACGCCTTTCCTAACTGACTGATTTGACTGAGTGAGGGGCTGACTGGATAACCTGAGTGACCGACTTGACTGAGAATATTTGACCAATCTTTGCTGGCTCTTCTCACAACCACTATCTCTGTCTGTCTGTCTCGCGGGATATAAATATTCGTATGTAATTATTGCCATGTATACATAATACATACATTAGTATTCTTGTGTGTGTTACTGTGTTTATGTATAACTTCCTGCACTTACACTGTACGTATGGGTGTACGTACAGGCGGGCGTGTGTGTACGTTTATTTTTGTCCTTTCGATATTTGGCCCTGTATGATTTAGCATGTATAGATAGTGGGAGTATTCATGCGAGTCCTCATTAATGCATCTCATGAGTACGGTATGTATACATGGTGTTAGTGTATGAGTCAGCAAGTATACATAGTGTATGTCAGCATGTATACAGCGCTTGATTTTTAATGTGTGAATCAGCATCAGTATGTATAGATTGTTTGTGTGAAGAACAGTGTATATGAGAACATGTGTGCCCCAGGTGTATGAGTTACCCCAGGTGTAAGTATGAGGTGTGTACCCCAGGTGTATGAGGTGTGTACCCCAGGTGTAAGTTGGGTGTGTACCCCAGGTGTAAGTATGAGGTGTGTACCCCAGGTGTAAGTATGAGGTGTGTCCAGGTGTAGTGTGTGCCCCGGTGTGTGGTGTGTACCCAGGTGAAGTATGAGGTGTGTACCCCAGGTGTAAGTATGAGGTGTGTACCCCAGGTGTATGAGGTGTGTACCCCAGGTGTAAGTATGAGGTGTGTACCCCAGGTGTAAGTATGAGGTGTGTACCCCAGGTGTATGGGGGTGTAGTGTGTCAGGCAGGAGATGTTAACGTCATCAGAGGAGCCATAAAACTCCTCCATTACGACGACAAACCTTCACGCCGCCTGAATTATGTACACTAAGGAGCTTGTCGTACATGGCCGTGCTGGGTACGGCCATGTACGGCAAGATCCTATCATTACCATAACAATAGGCTTGTGTTGCACGTGTCTTGGCCTCTGTTGCACGTATATCGTTCTTCACTACCTGTATATAGCTCTTTACGTGTGTTTATAGTGCACGTATGTGGCCGTACAGAGCACGTACAAGGGCGTACGGAGGAGGCCGCGCGTGCCGGCCTCAAAGGCTTCCCGCCGTACTGCAAGAGGCCTGGCGCTGCCTGCCTCCTAAACCCCAGGCGAGATGTGTGGCTTCGGCTTGAGGCAACACTTTATTATTAACTGTAATTATGTCATTATTGTGTGAAATACGTACAGTTACCCACAGGAGCCATGTGGTGTAGAACACATCGTTAATTGCGCTCTTAATTGTACCAAGATTAAGGCATCAACTCTTATGGCGTGACTAAACGGTAATTATTTAGACTCCTACCTGGGCTATGTTGGTGTTATTGTGTACAAACTTATTAACGTTTATTTATATAGAGGGAAGGTTACCGACTAGTATTCCTCAAACCCCGTATTTTATATCATGTTGTACCACTGTTGTATATCAGATAATTTTCACCTGTCAAATTATGTCAATAAAAATTAATACTAATTACCGTGTACAGTACAAGGGACATTTATTGATGGTAGAACGTGTTGGAGTGAAGGTCAGTGAGCAGTGTTTCGAACACGGGGGCGGCCGATAGCTCTTTCCGCCGGAGGCAGAGGCGGGAGGGAGGAGGGAGGGTCGAGGCTAGCCTGTTCTTTATCAAATTGTCACCAACTTTTTTAATTTATGTCAGGGTAAATCCTCCTTGTGGCCCTGCGTCTTAGGGTTCATATTGTGCTTGGCTACAATCCCGCCGTGCCCCAAGAACCAATTGTGTAGATTGCTACGGATACCACGGAGGCGACATCTTTATAGTGAACGAGCGACTGGCGGCATCCCCCCCCACCTCCCCGCTGCTGATGTTAGACAAGGCCGCTGGCGCTAGTCATAATTTCCCCCCGTCGCCTCTCGTCTCACTGCGCTTGATAGTGTCACTGGTTATAAGATCATAAGGTGATTTGGACGAGAGGTGTGTCAGAGGTAGAGATATTAAAGAAAGAGATAGTACATTAAAATTCAAGTGAGACAGACAGTTTACAGCAATCACTCACTCGGTTCACTAGCTATAGGCAGGGAAGTGACCATTTGCCCTTGAGTTTTAAAATGGATGGCTTTTTTTTTTATTATTCGGATATATAGTTTACGATGATTTTTTTTTGTAGGTTAGGTTAGACATTAATAGGTAGAGAACTTAGGTTAGGTTCAGTTAAGTTTAGGTTAGGTTAAGTTAAGTTAGGATTAGGTTAGGTTAAGTTAAGTTAGGGTTAGGTTAGGTTAGGTTTAGGTTAGGTTAGACATTAATAGATAGAGAACGTAGGTAAGAACAAGATACATAAAGATTCAGTCACAATAGCCTAATGTAATGTTACCTGAATCTACCTGAGAGCCCTCTACCTCATAAATTATAATTGCTGAGGGACAGGTATAATTAATCACCTCATTACGCCTTTAATGACCTTAGTTGGATGGATGTAAACAGAATACCCAGTATGAGTTAATAGGCCCGCTGTAGTTTCCTCCATTCTTATGTTTTGTTTTTAACTAATAACAGTATAACGTGAACTAACCCCACCCCCACCCCCCACCTCACCCCACCCACCTACCCCTCACCCCACCCCTCCTCACCCCACCCACCCCTCCTCACCCCACCTCACCCCACCAACGTTCTTATACTGTAGGCTGTGACCTGACCCCTCTGGGGGGGTATTATATGGAGTTAAGTGTGTAAATATTGGTAGGTTTTTTTGCATTTGAGAGAGAGAGAGAGAGAGAGATGCACGTAAGTGAGATAAAAATGTAAATAAACTCAGACATAAACAGAGATAAACTAAGAGAAGACAAACGTTAAAGTAAAATAAGAGAAGGTATAAACATACAAGAAAAACGAAGAACAAAAAGAAAGAAAGAAAGAAAGAAAAGAAAAGAAATATAATGCCACCCATAAAAAACGAATGGAACGAATAAGAAAGCAGTAAAATATCCTTCCCTCCTCTCCTCCCTGTTCCCTCCTCCTACCCCTCCTCCCTACCCTCCCCTCTACCCCCCCCTACCCTCCTTCCCCATAGGCCCAGTTTCGCCATTATACCAAGTGTCCACATGACCATTGGCCTCGTCCAACCTTTTTGATTTGTGGTGCTTCCCTCCCTCACCATTGTAACCCCCACCCACCGCCCCTTACCCTCCCCCATCCCCTACCCTCCCCCACCCCTACCTCCCCCACCCCTACCCTCCCCCCACCCCCTACCCCTACCCTCCCCCCCACCACCTCACGTTACACCGTCACCACCACATCTCCAGTTTTATCCACGATACATTGCTTCTTGAGTTTTGAAATATCATCGTGTTTTTTTTTTGGGGGGTGGGATATATATGTCATCTGTGTGTGTGTGTTTGTGTTTGTCTGTCTGTCTTTTGGTTGGGAGGTAGGTAGGTAGGAGTATAGGCCCTCTACATGACACAACGACCGTGGATAAAGTTGATGGTTGGGATGGATGGATGGATGGATGGGTGAGTGGATGGTGGGTGGATGGATGGATGGATGGATGGATGGATGGGTGGATGGATGGATGGATGGGTGGTGGATGGGTGGGTGGATGGATGGATGGATGGATGGATGGATGGGTGGATGGATGGGTGGATGGATGGATGGGTGGGTGGATGGATGGTGGTGGATGGATGGGTGGATGGATGGATGGATGGGTGGATGGATGGATGGATGGATGGGTGGGTGGATGGGTGGGTGGATGGGTGGATGGATGGGTGGATGGATGGGTGGATGGATGGATGGGTGGATGGATGGATGGATGGATGGATGGATGGATGGGTGGATGGATGGGTGGATGGATGGATGGATGGATGGGTGGGTGGGTGGATGGATGGATGGATGGATGGATGGATGGATGGGTGGATGGATGGGTGGATGGGTGGGTGGGTGGATGGATGGATGGATGGATGGTAGTTACGTAGGGGACTGAGTGGCCGGGTGGGAGTCGTGGTGTGTCGACCTGCTGTAACTCGTTCAGTGAAGCGTGTGACGGACTGGCTGAAATTGACACGCTCAGTTAGGAAGGAGGGAGGGTGAGGGAGGGGTGGGGGATGGGGAGGAGGTGGGGAGGTGGGGGTGAGGGAGGGGGATGGTGGGAAGGAGGGAGGGGGTGGGGGAGGAGGATTAAATGTATGTGTTTCCGGGAATATTGGCCGAAGCACATTCCCGCGATGTGCTGTATGGCTCATGGGGTTAGGTTAGGTTATGAGCCCTTTCTCACACACACACACACATACACATACATACACACACACAAACACATACATACATTAGGGTGTTGTAAGCGTCCACTGAGAGACCACCAAATCACAACCTTGTATAAATAAGGTACAAATAACAACAATATAACCTTATAAGTACAACACACATCACAACCCATAATGGTTATATTGAAATAGTTATACCGTAATGTTGATGTGTTTAGAATTAAGGTTTTGATAAGTTTCAGCACTAATATATTTTTGGTATAATTGATAACCTCATTTACCTATAACCTTGATCACCTATAACCACAATTACCTATAACTTCAATTACCTATAACCACAATTACCTATAACCACAATTACCTATAACCTCAATTACCTATAACCTCAATTACCTATAACCTCAATTACCTATAACCTCAATTACCTATAACCTCAATTACCTATAACCTCAATTACCTATAACCTCAATTATTATTTTTATTAACGAATCTACGGCGTTTATCTCATAATTTTCTTCGCTGTTGCTACACTTGTCATTCTCTCTCTCTCTCTCTCTCTCTCTCTCTCTCTCTCTCTCTCTCTCTCTCTCTTTCATATTCCTGGTTTTTTTCAGCTTCCTGTAAATAATAATAACAACAACAACAATAGCAATAACAATAATAACAACATCAACAATAATAATGACAATAACAATAACTAACAATAACAACAATAACAACAACAACAACAACAATAACAACAATAACAAAAACAACAACAACAATTAAAAACCTAACAAATAAAAAAATTAAATAATAATAAAATTGCATTAACACACTAAACAAACAGAGAAATGTGATAAAATAGACGAGTAAAATAAAATAAGTTGATTGTGTTGTGGTATATTGCTTGTTCCCACACTACCCCCCACCACTACCCCCACACTACCCCCCCCACCATTACCCCCACCACCACTCCCCATCCACCACTCCCAGTACCCCCCTACCCCCATTCTACCACCCCTACTCCCTCCCTCAGTAATCCCCTAAACCCTCCCCATACCACAACCACCCCATGACACCTCCCCACCAGCAGTACCCCCTGGCCCCTCACCCCTGTCACCACCCCTACCCCCCCACCACCCCTTTGACCCTCCACCCCCTCCCACCCCACCACCACCCCTTGACCCTCCCACACCCCCTCCCACCCCCACACCACCACCACCCCTTTGACCCTCCCCCACCCCCTCCCCACCCCCACACCACCACCACCCCTTTGACCCTCCACCCCACCCCCACCTTCACTACAAGTCGAGTTAATATTATAAATTATTTGCTAGTGAGCCAGTGTATTAAAAATAATGAAAAATGAAAGAAAATGGAGGAAAATGACGTGAAGTTGTTAGTATTTTATGAAGAGAATTAATATAACCTGTCATGGGGTAAAATTATAGTAGAGTTTAATGATGCAGGAAATGATGGGGGAATTATTTTTATATATGTATAATTTTCTGGTATATAATTGAAAGAAAATATAATTATGATACGAATATACAGTATAATTTGGGGTGTATGTTTGGGGTAAAAGATTTATATATGAAAAGGAAGTTAAATATATTGTTTTATATATTAAATTTTTCTGGTATATAGTTAATTAAAAATAAGAGTCTTAT